AAAAGATTTTTATACACAGGCGAAGTTAACTTGGTCGATCAGTCAGGTGAAGATATATTCGGATTGTTAATTGCATCTGATGAATTATTGCTTGATGAATTATTCAAATATGTCCAAGATCAATTATTTGAAAAGCATACCTCTTGGATTCACAGCAATTTTGTTCTGGTTCTTCATTCCGTATTTAAACTTGCTAGTTGCAAAAAACTTCAAGATTTTTGTCTTCAATCAATTTGTACTGATCCACAACCATTTATCAATTCGGAAAGCTTTTCATCACTAGATAAGGACATCCTGCTTGGTTTGCTTAAAAGAGATGATTTTCAAGTCGAAGAAATTGTCATTTGGAATTGTTTAATCAAATGGGGTATTGAACAAACTCCTGGGCTGGGAAGCAAGAATAGTAATAGAACAAAATGGAATCAAGAGAATTTTGAAGAATTGAAAAAAACATTAGAACAATTCATTCCCCTAATTCGGTTTGTGGAAATTTCACCCCAAGATTTTTTTGATAAAATTCGTCCTTATAAGGCTGCTATTCCCAAACATATTTATGAAGAAATCGAGGAATTTTATTATAAAAAAACCTTTCCAAAATCAATAAATTTATCTCCACGATCTAGAAAGATCCAAATCGAAATTGAGTCACAAATTATCAAACCAGATCTCGCAAATGTAATTGCTCATTGGATCGAAAGAAAAGATGATGTTAAACTTCCGCTTAAGGAAGAATATAATTTCGAGCTTATATATCGCAGTAGCCAAGATGGGCTTTCTCATCAAGCACTTCGTAACAAATGCAATAATCAAGGTTCATGTTTAGTTTTAGTTAAACAACCATCATCAACAAAAATTTATGGAGGATATAATCCACCTGGCTTTGTTCCCAGCGGTGGGCAATTTCTTGAAACAAGTGAGAGCTTTATATTTTCTTTTGAAAATGATAAAGATACTACTAGTATGAAAATAAGTCGCGTAGTTCGTACTAATTATGCAATGTGGGAACAAAATGGTAATGGATTCAATTTTGGCAGCACTTTTTATATGTTAAATCAATCTATTTATTTGAACTATAATGATCGTTATGATGGTAATATTGTTGCAAATTCAAGTTTCAATTCTAATTTTGTTCCATCTCTTATTGAAGTTTTTAAAGTTATATCAAATGTTTATTTATCTTAAATAAACAAACGTAACATAAAAACGTTATCAGTTCGATAAAATTTAAAATTTAGTTCCTAACCATCGTTGAAATACATCACCAAATAATTCTTTGAAATAATAAATGAAATATTACATACATATGAATTTTACAGTCTATTAAATACAATTAAACTTAAATCTTCATTCTGGTTTTAAAGACGCGCTTGATAATTTGATAATTTCGATTGATGTAAACTATATTTTAAAATTATTTTGACTTAATATCCGCTTATAATATAGCATAAAATTCCAGTTAAAAAAAAAGTAAATGGGATAAGAGTTTGCATTCAGATAATAAATTATTTAAACTAATAAAATCCTTCCATTGGTCAGATATATGTTTTATAATGAAATACTATAAAAATAAAGAGCATGGATAATGAATCATAATGATTTAAATATTGAAATTTTAATAAAAAAGGAATCCTATCTTTTTAATTAATTTTATATTATAATGAAAATACAAAATTTTTTACGAATTCCATAGTAATCGATTCGAACTTTCTTATTCTAAAAACAATAATAATGTTGTAAATTTAGCTAGAGTTTGCATTCTATATAATCTACGATATAATATACCATTACATTTGTGAATTCAATTCAAAGTAGTCTATGAATCAAAAATGCTACGCCACAGTAAACATTTTCAACCAATAATAAATTGTTCTAATTTAAAATATAGAGTCGAATTAATTAATAAGACACTATTAAATTATTAATTTATAAATTAATATTTTTTGCTATTATAAAATACATAAAATTTTATTATTAAAATTATTTTATAGGATTAATTTTTGTAATACTTGAAATAAATTTTGTAACATTTGAGATTTTGCTATTAAAATCACCTATGGGACATTGTTACAATAATTTATTAGAAAATAATTTTGAAATTTAAATACAATATATTAATTAAAAAATTCAATTTTTAAAAGAAAAATTAAATATTTTAAAAATTATTTAAAAAAAAATTGTCTGTATAATTTTCGTCGTTGACTGTAGATCGGCAGTGAAACAAATACATGCTAATAAACATCAACTCGCAAGAGAACAGACATACATCTTGTGTTACTGCATCTAGACTGTAAATATTTCTACGCTATGCTCTATATTAATAAGCAATTTAGGTTTAATCATTTAGTTATTTGCTAAAGTTTAATCAAAGGTTTAATAAAACACAAAATTTGACGAAAGTTTAGTCATGATAATAATAGTTTAGGCAGGCATCACTAGCTTTAGTAATAGCATTTATGTTTTATAAATAATATATATCCTTTTGTCTTCACTTTTTTTTATTAACAATTACTACTAAAGAAGCCTAAGAACTTGACGATTTTTAGAGATTCCTTGTTCTTCCATCTTAACGATTTCTTGTTTTAGGAATTTCCTATTTTCAAATTAATTAGGTATTTATGCAATAGTTGTAGCATCTCATTTTAAAATCTGATGATGTTATTCCTTTCTTTTTTTTGTTTGAAAGAAAGATTTGGATCTACCATAATGGCATGATGAAATTGTTTTTTTATTATTATTTTTTTCTTTTATTATGTATTGTCTATTCCTATTGTTGATTAATTTGATAAATAATAAATTAATTAATTATTTGATTAATAATTTTTTTCGATTTTGTAGGTTTGGGCTAATGCCACTGGTATTTTAGATTTAACTTCAGTACTTTGTTCAAATGTATAACTATGGTTTGTACTAGGGATGAAATCAGTTAAAAGCAAATTATTTAAACTAAGTTTAAACTCAAACTGATATATGATGATTTTATTCAGTTTAAGCCACAGTTTTGATTGATTTGTACTCCTGCAATTCAAACCATAGATAACGTTTTTTATTAATAAATAACAAAAATGCTGATCATTAACACTTGCAACATTTTTTATATAAATGTTTAGTTTTTAATCTAATATCTAATATCAAATATGAACGAAATAATTCTGATGATATTTTATCAAATACTTTATCATAAGTTAATAGTAGACTTAATAGACCTATATGTAGAAAACCTGCTTCACCCATGAATAAATATTTTACTTGAACTGCAGAATCGCAAATTTATAACCATTGTGATTTTACATACCAAAGACGAAAAAGAAAAAAAAATAAAAATAAAAAAATGGCATTTAATTAGTAAAATGTGATATAATGATTTTTTTTTAATATAGTAAAATCTGTTCATTATATCAAAATTCGTTGTATTTATAAAATAAGTAATAAATAAAAATGAATTTACAAAATTTCATTGTGTACCGAGGACTTAGTTATTATAGGACTAGTACAATACGGTACAATGTCAAATTTCACAAAATTACTGATCTGCATAATCGTACTGGCGAATCGTACCGTACCGGTTTTCCATATACCAAATTTGGCAAGAAAGGTTAAATTATGATATTCAAAAAATTCAATGAATGTTTACCTTAACAACTGACATGTGGACCTCTGGAAATAATCATGCCTTTTTAGGTGTAACTATTCATTAGATAGATGATAATTGGCAAATGTGTAAATTTTTATTGGATATTATTCCATTTCATGAATCTTATTCTAGTGTGAATATATCAGAAACTTTATTAAATTTGTTAATTAAATATAACCTTACTAAAAAGATTTTAGCATTAACAACTGATAAAGATTCTGGTATGATTTCTTGTGGTCGTAAAATGTGTGATGAATTAAGCGCGAAATTTAATAATTCACTATTTTCTCATTATCAATGTGGTGCTCACATACTTTACCTTGCTGTACAACATGGTTTTCAAATACATGATGAAGTAATTGGAAAAGTTCAGAATTTCATGAATAAAATCATAAGGTCAAATTTATTGACAGAAGATTTACGACGTATATTTGAATCACAAAATCTTCCATATTTAGGACCACAAATAGATGTTGATACGCGTTGGAACTCCACTTATTTAATGTTTAAAAAGTTTCAAAACATTCGAACTCAAGCTAATATGCTTGTTGCACAACATCAAGATGATTTTGTTGATATGTTTTTAACCAATGATGAATGGGTAAATATAAATGTAAGTGTGTAAATATATTATTATTTTATTTAATATATTTACAAAATATTTAACAAGAATTTCCAATTTCTTGTAGGAATTGATCACCTATGTATTACGCTACATTGGCTCTTTCATCATCATCATTTTCAACTATCGGATATCTTCATTTTATTTTTTGGACCTTAAAGCAACATTTGGAATATGAAATTACTAATAGCACAACACAATACATGTTTGCTGATTCAATTCATCATAAATTTAGCGATTATTATTTAATTATTAGTAATATCACCAAAATTGCAACGATATTAGATCCTCGCGTCAAGTGTTCAATTTTTGCAATTGGTGATGGAACTAATAATGTTATATCGCAAATACGAAATAATATATAGTCACAACAGATATAAGTGGACAATCTTCGGAGCATAGAGAAATTAATGCCCATGTTCATTTAAGGAATATTGCCAATCGATTTCGACCTATTGCACAACCCAATATAAATAATGAATTAGAACGATATCTAACTATACCTACAGATATTGAATGTGAACCATTAGAATGGTGGAAAGTTCTTAAAAAACAATTTTATCGGCTATGGCACATGATTACCTTACTATTCAAGCCACACGTGTGCCATGTGAACAAATATTTTCAATTGCGGGACTTACAATTTCTAAGTTGCGTAATAGATTAGATCCGGATACAGCACAAGCATTATTATGCTTAAGAGTTAGATGGCTGAAAAAGTTGGTGAAAATAATAATGATTTTAGTAATGCTTTGTAAAGCTTGATAATTTCATCATATTATAGTAATTTTATGCTTATCATTGTAAATTCAATTTATTTTTATAATACTTTGTAAGATTAAATGAAAATTTTTATTATTGAATTATTTGAATAGTATAGTTTGAGATAGTAGTTGATTTTAAATTTTTCCAGTTTATAATAAAAAAGGCCGTTTTATTTACCGTTATTAAAAAGCTTGCAGTTTGACCGTTGGTTTAAAAACCATAATTAGCCGCTAACTCCCTAAACCGGAAGTTTGCTAAACTGAAACTGACCAGCCAACCAAATACCATCCCTATTTGGTACATAGTATCGTGAGTAGAAACAAAGTTTATGTTTATTTGAATTGGTGTAAAAAGTACGTCGATTTCGTTCAACATTCAATTTTGGTTAGTTCATTTGCTAGATGAATTTAGAGTTCCTCAATATAGATTTGCAAATCTGTTGATTGGAAAAATTAGATGCAATTAATTTTTAAACTCAACTAGTTACAACTAAAAAAAAATGAACTACAAAAGTAGAATTTATATAATATATTTTTATGAAATTAATTAAATCGTACTTCGATAATGAATGGAAAAATCCGTCGCTAAGTTTTGTTAAGAAAATAAAAACATTTAGTAGGAACTATATATTTCTCTCTCCATTCAATTATAACTTAATACTCTTATATTTAATACAATCAACATAAACTTAAACTAAAACATTTTTTTTTTTTTGACGTCATGAAACCATTCTCATTGATTTTGACTTGCTTGTTCCTTTCTCTCAACTCTTCTCGATTTCATCGACTTAGCACAATCCATTGATCAACCATCACCCAAGAAATAAAATGGCAGTAGCGTGCTCAATGGTAAAGCAGCTGAAGAAAAAATTAAATTTTCATGTATCAAATGAAACAAATATGTTTGATCTTCAATTCTTTTGTGAAATTCAAGATAAAGCAAAAGAAAAATCTTCTTTCGAAGAAAAATGTTGATGATTTTTTTCGATAAATTAATCGCTTCATCGCAATATTTAGTTAGCAAGGAAATATTAGTTATTTCATCACACTTAAATCTCTAGTTTTCAAACCAAGCGTTAGTGATAAAGAAGAAGTTATGACATCTTTAGAAACTTCTCTAAATCCTTTTGAACGAGGTACAGCAAATATACATGATGATAAGTTCGTGATGGTTGATATAATAATAATGCTTACATAAACTTTTATTTTTACCAAGTTCCAGTATTTCTCATGTTGATATTACGACGTATACTAATACCATGAATTCTTAATGACTTATAAGAATCAGGTCGAACCCTCAATGATTCCATTATAATAGGTGGAAACTTTGCCGGAGTGCTATAGGTTATAAACTCCGATTCTAGAAAGTTTAGGGTATAGTAAATTATTTCAATTATTCATCACACTTTAGTAAAGATTAAATGACACATGGTATTCTTAGATAGATCCCTAACTGTATAATCCATCTCCGCCTGTCTTTTAGCCGATAAGTCGGTCTTCAAGTATTGCTATTAAATGTAATATTTATTTTGCGGTTGGAATAACGTTGATCATGTAAATTCCTGATGGAAAATATATTTAGAATCAGGATTGTTTTATAAGTTATCATGGTTTATCCTTCTTAACTGAATGTTGTTTGTGACTGTAAAAATTTATTCAATTGAGATATTTTTTAATTTTCCTTATCCTTATACATTATCTATTAATTATATAACTGACGAATCTATATTCATTATAATGATTTATTCGTCAGAAATACACGTTCTGCGCAATTAAATTGACTGTTAATAAATTCTAATTCCGTTTCAATATTTTAATCATTCTTTACATGGTTTTTATGGTTTTTGAATTTCCTTATATATTTAATTATGAAACTTTTTTCGCATCTTTTTTCGCATCTTTTTTTTTAAACGTGACGTGTCCAAATCGTTCGAAAGTATTTATGATTTATTTTTTAAATTCATGCTTTCAATCAAAATTCGGCGCTTATATACCTTTTTGGATATAAAATGTAATAATAATAACCTAAAAACCATCGTGCCAATGTGGCGTAAATAAGCTGTGCGGAGTTAATGATGATAATGACGTCTAAGTTAGTTTAGAATTTATTAAACTTTTGAATGATTTTGTTTTAAATTGTATTTTTTACCAATATTATAGGGATAAAGTTTATATCTTTTGCTTAAAACGTTGACATCTGCATTATAAAAATTTTCTTTTTTTCGTCAAGGATTATTATATCGAGTTTTGCTATTAAAAATCCTTAGTAAAATTATTCGATCCTTAGCGTTAATAGTAAACAAAATATTATATCACGATTATGCAAAAGATAGTAATGTCAAATAAAGAAAATTTAGATTTGAAGAATGAAGGAAAATAATTAAAATTGTCAAATACTTTGGTCTAGTTCTACTATTAAAATCACATCGACGTTATCGATGAAAGTGAAATGATTAAGAATATTTCTTCTGGTCATTCGCATTCATCGGAAGTCACAAAATAATTAAATTGTCAACATCAAATTCAACGTATATGTTGACATATAAACAAGAAATCAAATTATTTGAGTTATGGAATGACGCCGGAGCAAATAATGATATCAGAAAGACCTTAAATGAGGATAATCATGACTTTAAGGTATCTGATAAAAAGGATATTATATATAAAGTTGCAAATAATACTAAAGGTGAGGATTACTTATAAATAATCTTATATTTAGTAAAATTCTACGATTTGAAAACAAAAAAAAAAAAAATAAATAATAACTTTATAATAACCGATTTGAATACAAATATACTAACATTCTTAAAAATAAAATTTTGTACCATTAGTACACCTCAAGTTTATAACTTAGTAAAGAATATATCACAACAAAATATTAAGAAAGCGGTGCAATAACGGCGACAAAGTCGCCGCACACCAACCTAATCTAGTTATTAATTTAATTTAATATTTTTTAATAATAATTATATATAAATCTCCTATTTCTTTAATTTAATCTTTTTATATATTTTTCAGATTTATTTATTTGTTTTCTTAAGCACCTAACTCAATGGATTAATCAAAAATTGAAAATTGAATCTTGGAGTAGAGGTTGGAACCAAAAATTCTTTAACCAGTTAAAAATTAACTGGTTCCCTTCTCTTTCTTAGAGTTGAATCTTGAGAAACGATTATCATGATTAAATCAATTCTTAAATCGATTCTAGGATAAGATACAATAAGTTATAAAAGGCCTTCGCTTTGCTCTAATTCTTTCTTCCAAATATTTTTTAGGGTTTTTTTCTTTTAAACCATTTTTGTAATTAAATCTTGGGCTAATTTATTCTGGTGATTATAGCAAATATATGATTGTTTATTTGCCAGATTTTTATTTATCATTGAAAGGCAAGAAAGTGATTTCATATTTATTTTTCAGCCCTCGGTTAAATAATTCAATGAATTTCCATAATGCTCTTATTTAACCGGATCGGTAACTTTACTTTCCAAACAAAATTAACTTCTACTTATCACGATGATGCGCATTAAAACCTGGAATGAGGATTAATTCCTTAAATTTAATCCAGGTTAAATTGTTCTAGTTATTGCGATTAATCAATTAAGCGTTACAATTTTTATAAATGACAAAGTTTAAATTTTATTTTTGAATTTAATAAAATAAATTGAAATAAATTTGTTTCTAAAACAGGTTTTTAACGACCAAATATTAAAGTTCTTTCCAACAGAGATGTTAGTATATTTATAAATTTCTCTATTTTTATAGCAGTAAAGAGTTTTCTAGGGTTAGTCCGGTTCAAAAAGACCGGTCTTACATCTTCCTTTGGACCGGACTGGTCTTGCACCATTCGGTCCTACCAGTCCAATTCCTTTCTCGGTGCTAAACAATGCCAGACTTGATTTTCGGTATATTATAACAATTCTTAGAAGGTTTGCTTTGGATTTTGATTGAAAATAGATAAAATATAAGGGCGTTTACTTTAATACGATTGGGGAACAAAATGTGTAAAAATAAAATTAGTCGTTGTTCCAAAATAAATAAAGGCGAAATAAATCGATTTCTCGATCTAATAAGTTGCATTATAGTTATTATTCCTTGTTTAATTTTTTATTTATAATAAATTTTGATTTTATTTCAGGTTTTTCACTAAAAAAATGAAATTGTTTTGCTAAAGTTTAACATTTTCCTATCTTTATTTTATTTTTTTAATTTTATCGAGCTATTTTTTTTTAGCATCCAATAAAATAAATATCCATTTAATTTTTAAGAAACGTATTTATAATATATTAGCTTCGCTTAATTATTTCATTATCTTTTTTTTTAAAAAAAATAATAGTAATAAATAAATAAACTCCTTTTCGCTTTTATTACAAAAAAAAAGGAAGAATATTGTCTAAAAAACAATAAAAAAATTTTTATTTTAATTCTATTAACTGACTCACCGCATAGTCATAAATAAAAGTATTTATTTATTGTCAGAATATTATATAAAAAAAGCTTTGCTTAGAATCAATAAACAGGTTTAGAATTCCCGTGGCTCATTTACGTCAAAACGACTTCTTTAATATTGTTTACGACATATTCATGTCGGATATTATCGTTCAATTAAATATCGTCTCTCTTATGGACTGGATCGGTCCATAAATCAGTCCTTCCTAAGTCTGGTCTTGGATTCTATTTCATACTGGACCTATTTATATGAAAGATCAGACCGGACTGATCCAACCCTAGGTTTTTAATAGCAGTGAATATTTGTCTTCAGATAATAAAATTGCAATTTACAAATATTAAATAGTAAACCAGGTTACTTTCTCAAATTAAATATGAACTTTTAAACTTGGAAGCAATATCTATAATATACTTTAAAATTTTCTTTATAAGATAGAGGTTTTGATTTTTATGATAATCAGTTCAGTTACTTTTTATTCTTTACAGTAAAAAGAATAAACTAATAGATCACTTGAATTTTATAAGCAAGTCGTTCTTATAATAATAATTAATTTTTTCGTGAGCAAAGCAAATCATTTAATATAATTTGATATTTGTTAATAAGTTAACCATTCCATTAAACACAAATGTGAAATCCGAAAGAATAGGTTTTTCTGCCTGCATAATCTTTTTAAATATAAATAAAATTCTTTAGTATAGAAATTTTTGTAAGTTGGCTATTTAAAAAAGTTCTAAATATATATTTCAATATCGAAATTCCTGTTTGAAAAACTAAATTTATAGGAGTTGAACTTTGAAGAATCATCATTAACTGAAATTAAGATCTGGTAATTTAACAATTTCAGAATCCAACCTTACAAATTTAGCTTGAAAGCTATGAAAGAGGAAATAAAAGTTTAATTTTTTTAAAAAAATCAATTAATTTTTCTTTTATATGATCATTTATAACAGCTTTTTGATATTAATAAAAGACCTTTTTATAAATTTATTTCTGTTTCCTTTCCATTTTTATATAAAAATATAAGATTATATTATGTTACATTATTTCAAATTTCAGAAGCTTTTTGATATCAATAAAAGGCTTTTTCTAAATTTTTTTCTGTTCCTTCACCATTTTTATATGATAATGCAAGATTATATTGAGCATCTGCATTATTAATTTCAGCTGCTTTTTGATACCAATAAAAGGCTTTTTCTAAATTTTTTTCTGTTCCTTCACCATTTTTATATAATAATGCAAGGTTAATTTGTGCTTTTGCATTATTATTTTCAGCTGCTTTTTGATACCAATAAAAGGCTTTTTCTAAATTTTTTTCTGTTCCTTCACCATTTTCATATAATAATGCAAGTTTATATTGTGCTATAATATTATCGCTTTCAGCTGCTTTTTTATACCAATAAAAGGCTTTTTCTAAATTTTTTTTTGTTCCTTCACCATTTTCATATGATAATGCAAGATTATATTGTGCTATAATATTATCACTTTCAGCTGCTTTTTTATACCAATAAAAGGCTTTTTCTAAATTTTTTTTTGTTCCTTTACCATTTTCATATAATAATGCAAAATTATTTTGTGCTGATACATTATTATTTTCAGCTGCTTTTTGATACCAATAAAAGGCTTTTTCTAAATTTTTTTCTATTCCTTTACCATTTTCATATAATAATGCAAGATTATATTGTGCATCTGCATTATTATTTTCAGCAGCTTTTTGATACCAATAAAAGGCTTTTTTTAAATTAATTTTTTTTCCTTCACCATTTTCATATGATATTGCTAGATTATTTTGGGCAAGTGTATTATTATTTTCAGCAGCTTTTTGATACCAATAAAAGGCTTTTTCTAAATTTTTTTCTGTTCCTTCACCTTTATAATATAAATTTGCAAGA